CGGGCACGCCGCTCCGGCGGCGGCGGGGCCCGCGGTGTCGAGGCCGATCCCTTTCCGGCGTCGGCCCTCGCCATCCGGGGCTGGAGAAGCACCCGACGCCGGGGCTTTCGGCGGAGCTGCAGGCCCATCTTCCTGTTCAACTTTTTTATTGTTCCCCCTGCCGCTGCTCCGGCTCCCCCGGCGCCTCCGGGGTTCGATGCCTGCGGGGACCGGGAGGCGCGGAGTGTAGCTCGCCACCCGGAAAATAGCAGGGGGGAGACGGGAAAGTTGTGTCACGGGCTTTGGAGGAAACCGGCGACGCATGGAATCGGCGGAGCTGCAGGCCCATCTTCCTGTTCAACTTTTTTATTGTTCCCCCTGCCGCTGCTCCGGCTCCCCCGGCGCCTCCGGGGTTCGATGCCTGCGGGGACCGGGAGGCGCGGAGTGTAGCTCGCCACCCGGAAAATAGCAGGGGGGAGACGGGAAAGTTGTGTCACGGGCTTTGGAGGAAACCGGCGACGCATGGAACAAAGGTCCTGGCAGTCTCGGGGAGAGAGGCCTGCGTGCGAGGCCTGATTGTGTCGCATTTACACAGGGGGAAGAGATGGGAGCCTGGCATTGGCCTACATCGCCCCCACCTCCCCCCCTCAGTCTGGCAGGAGGCTCGGAAACGATTTGGAAACGATTTAAAGAGCGGGTTCAGTTTGTTTTCAGGGTGGCTCAGATCCCCAATCTGTAATCCTCATTTAGGGCGAGTTTCAGTGCCATTGCTATTCTCTCTTTTCGGCCTCAGCAGGAGCAGCCCCAGAGTTGATCTGCCAGGGATTTAAGGCCACTTTACTTCTAATAGGGTGACTTCCTGAATATGCCTGGTCTTGAGATTTCTACTGAAATAGCCAGGTTTGTGGTACTTTCCAGGCTCTCTAGCAAAGGCAACTTGAATATGGAAGTAAGACTTTGTAACATGCAACCAAATTAATCACAGGGCAAACTTCAAAAACTATCTAACTATGACCTTAAAAATCAGAGTTTTCCCTCATGGACTTGACTTCATGGATTTGGCTGCATGGATATTCTATGCATATTTCAAGATGGTGCTATAATTAAAGCTGTTGCTCCATTGCATACATTATTATGATCTGGTGACCACCTTAAAGGTGGATTGACACTAATTAAGTGGTCAGTTGGGGGTGGGGGGACAGTTGTGTGGCTTAAGTAAATTTTTTCTGTGTATTAAAAAAAAAAAAAAAGCAATTCTGAAAATTCAGAATTACTTTGAATGTAGCTTGTCTAGTATTTAGTGATTTTTAACGAGAGGTGTACCATAATTATTATTCAACACGTCTTATTCCACACACACTTTAAGCTAGCATTGTTATGTCTCC